TATAAACTGGAAGTTCGTGGTTGGAAATTATCATCGCTTATGATGTATTTAAGAATTTAACGCTTTTTCAACACACAATGTGATCTCAGATTTGTCTCAGTAAAATTCTTGTTTATCCACTTAGACACTTAGTTGTAAATGGCATTACATTTAGCTCAACCCTCTGGTGTACAGTTTATCAGGGAGTTTTTGTTGCAGGCAAAATTAAACTATGGAAATTGTTTACTTGCAATATAAAATCTAAAATCTTTTTCCTCCTTAAACAAAACGAACGAGCACCAAATTAATTACACAGATTTTATAACATCCAACTTTGTTGTAATTTAGGATATTAAAATAAGAAACTTCGCTTATCAAAATAGTGCAACCATTTATGAGAAAATGATTTTTTTTTTAGGTTTTAAGATTTATTATTACAGGTTATTGGGTCCATTAAACATTAAAAACTATTTTCGGTTACACCGAAGCTGAACACAACTCTAAGTATAAATTATTATTTTAATGTAAAACGATTCACATGAGGCCCTTAAAGCAAATAAAATCCACTATACAAGTCTAGTCATCTCTTTGCTCACTGAAATATTTCCTCCACAAGGTGAAATTTGCCAAACACGATTAATAATTCTAATTGAACTTTGAATAATGTTTTCCTATGAACCAAATAACTTCCTTATCACCATCGTACGTGGCATTAAAATTACCTAAAAGCACAAAAAATACGTCAAATAACACTTGTTATAATATTTACGATTTTACTTTTTGCCCACAAGACGGCAAATACATATAACAGATGGTAAGAGGTGATCGATTTCGATTGGAAACTCCAATCATCATCAGACCCAATAGGCGAATGACAAGAATTAAAACTCAGAATTACCAAAAAGAAGTGTCGATGTCGAGAAGAGCTGCACCAGAGTAATTCCTAAACAATGTCAACAGAAGATAAACATCCCAAATTCCAAATCACCAGTGATGAAAATGATCCCGAAAAAACACAAGAAGAATGTACCAATCAGACCCTAAGTAACATTTAGATGTGCTCCTAACTACAATTTAAGGGACTCCATTTTGATTCTTGTCATTTGCCTATTTGGTCTGATGATGATTGGAGTGTCCAATCGGAATTAATCACCACTTATCATCTTTTATATGTCTTGTGAGTAAAAAAAAAAATATAAGTGTAAATATATATTACAAGTGCTATTTGACGTATTTTTGTACTTTCAGATGAACCAAATGTATAACCCTTGAATATGTTTCTAAGAAAACACGTATAAAATATATTAGTTTAAACGTTTTAGTAGGGTATCATAATATAAGGAGGCGGTGTGTGTAAAAATCTGCTGTCAGAAATATGATTTTCAAAGTAACCACATTCTCTTTGTTCACTGTATTACGTTCCGTGTGGTAGAGGCCAAAAGCCACAAAAATCCTTTACATTGAGGACAAAATCTCCTTATTCCTAATCACTTTTGAAGAATCGGAAAAGGCTAGAATATATTTAAACTAGATATTAATTTTTAGTTTAATTAAAATGTAATATTCTTTACATTTGTAAATATTATATTTATTTTTTTTCTGGTTTATGAAATTAATGTTGGGCCTAATTAAAATATAAAAAATCAATTAAATTAATTTATCAACGTGATTCACCCTGTAGCAAATCGAATATTACATTCCAATAAAACGGATTCAACTTAAGTTAGAAAACTTCATCAATGCTATCAAATCTTTATATTTTATAGCTTATAACGATGTAACTGTTCGGCATGTACATTCAGCTACTGTATTTATGAACTGAAAGGGCTTATCAACACATTCGATCCAAAGTTCAAAGTCAGCTTTCCTTCTACCCCAATTAATTTCAGGGACTGAGTTTGAATGGACACCTAACCGATTTACAGAGTTGTTTTCTATGAGACGCTCTAATTAGTGATAGGTATAATGTATCTTGCAGGCTTGGAGACACATCGATAACGATGTGCCTGTCTTTAAGTTGAAGTGGAAGATCACTTTACTAGTACGGTATATAGCTAGTCAGGAACAAGGAACCCCTGGAGCTGTATTATAACATCCAGTAGGACACGTCACATGAGAAATAACTAGACTGGCAAGCTTGGGCTAGACTCCACATATCGAAGTTAAGCGAGTGTCAGAAGCAAGAAAGAAAGTGTTTAATTTTGGATAATCCCTTGTAATCTAGTTTTTAAACTCCACCCCATTTTAATGAGATTAGTTTAATCTCCTTTGCCTTATTAATTCTGTTTTGCTTACTTTGTCAAAAATCATGATTTGGTTTAAAATTGGTCAGTACTTTCACCAACGAATGAAGTGTCGCTTTTTGCAGAAATTATTTATTTAAATGTTTTAACTTCATGAAATTTGTACTAATTTATCAAATTTAATGTACTGGTAGGTATACACTTTGTATAAGCAAATGCAGAGTAATGTGTGGAGGCTAATCTATTTTTAATTTTATTTCTTACAAAATCATGTATTAGGAAACTTAACGTATGGACATTTACGTGAATTTTGCTCTATGCTATATTTGTAAATATCCAGTACCTTTAAAAAACTTTTAATCTTAGATTTTGAATATCTTACTGTTTAATAAGCTGAATTTAAGACTTCTGATTGCTTAATTTTAAGTAGTTCAATTTATAAAAAGACAGACATACAATTTAGAAATAAGTAACCTCGTTATTACAATTGTCATTGAACTCATTCATTATTTATTATTATTTAAAACAGATTTATGGTCTGTAAACCACTGTTGTAAACGTTAAAAGAGGTTTAGCTTCCCCTTTTACCAAATATCTTTTGATATATCTTTATCATTTTATTAACCAGCGTTCATTTTTCAATATTAGATCCAATATGCAGTGGTCTTCATGATACACTTATTAATGCTTATTGAAACAATGTTTTATAAAGGGTCGTAGCTACAAGTATTCTATTGTTGGGGCATAAGGAATTATTCAGAAAAACCATATAGTTTGTCCTCTGTAATTTTGTCTCTACTACAACTTGCTTAGCAACATCTAGGTTACGTCGCGGTGCCAGCTCTGTTGAACTTGAGCTCATTATCAAGTTCTCAATGTTACTTAACCTTTCGTTAACCGTCCTTTATCCTTACTTTGCAAAATTAAAGGCGCCTCATAAAGTAATTGTAAAACTACGTTAGTTTATTTAAAAAGAGAATTTTGTCTCAGAAGAATCGTTCGGATAGTCAATATCCTTTACATGAACCAGTTACCCATTTTCAAAATGTTGACTTTTGAATAGCTCATCAACTTAACTTGGCTTCGGTTAACTTGTTAATACAAAATATAAGTTTGTCTGAATACTATAAACTTAATAATGATTCCATCACATTGTAAAATGTTTATTCTCTATCATACTAGGAAATATAACAAGAAAAAATAACATCATTATTTTTATCTAGTGACAACATGTATCCATTAAAAAACTAAATGTAACTTTAATATTTTAATCTTAGTGCTCGAGAACAAGTTAAAGAAGAAACAGGTAATAATCTAAATGTATTTTAATAAGAAAATTGCAAATTTTCAAAGGAGTTTCCTTGAGCTATAATTTTGCATAATTATATGGCAATTATCGTGTGTATGAAATAAACAAATATCCTTACTATACATTGATATACGCTCCTCGTCATTTTTTGATTATGTCGGGGAACGTGTCTATAAATTTAGTTTGAAAACATGATAAAAGATGTTTTACAGTACGTGTTTTGCAGATATCATACATAGTATACTATTTGACTCCATAAGATGCGTTTTAAGAATTCGTAAGGTTAAAATAAAAGTAAAAAGTAACATGTTTTGGCGAATTGAATGTGGTATTTTAAAACTTTGGTTAACAACTCTATAAAAATGTGAGTCATTTATTGATGACAGAAATTAAAAGATGTTAATGAACTTGAAGCTGTGTAACATATTCGTCTAAATTTTATTTGTAGATTCATATTGGTATAATAAATACTCTTAAAATAAACATATGACTGTACCTTTTGTAAATAAAAAAGAATACTATCGAATAATTATTAGTATTTAATTTCGTGCCAAATTGGGGGTTGAAGTTGAAAGTACAGCTGTCACATTTTACTACACACAACTACTATATTTGTTTTCATCGCCAATAAAATGGGGATCACCATTTCTTTCGATCAAATTTGCTCCACACATAAAACACTACTACTCTATGGTTAGTTATAATGGAATATACTTTTTAGTTCTCAGATCGCATTATGTCGTGCTAGAATTTAATACCAAGCTGATATGTTTGTTTTTCATCTCTTTATGATTATTTCAAAATTATGTTATGTTTATTGATTACTTTAAAGGCCCAACGGTATTTTTAGATTCCAGCTAGATTTATTTAAACGAATAATCAATGTTACTTTTTAGAACCTTATAATAGAACCTTTTAAAGTTAGCGTCACTAAAGAATTTAAAATTTTAATTCAACCAAACAAAACGTCAAAACTGTGGCCTGGTGTTTTAATATTCTCGTGCAGTGTTTTTTTTTCCATTTTGTAAATTTTTATTTGAAGTCTACTTAGCAAAAATAGGAGGTAAAATGCGTTATTTTTATAGTGTATGTATACTAAATTCCATGTTTTTAATAATCGATTGACTTAACAAGTGGTTAATTAATTTATAGCTTTGGGTGCATTGAATTTTACCAATTTCATAAGGTAATACTTAAACTTTAACATATATTTCCTACTGTTTACAAACTATTTCAATTAAATTAAATATTACATTTACGAAACATTTCCAATTAAATTACCATAGACAAGACATCAAAGTAATTAAATCACAAGTAGACATCAAAGTGGATGTTTATCTATTTCGTCAATGAGATGGCGCTTTGCACTACCAACATTACAAAGTTAGCTGTCAAACAGTCAACTGGTATAGTTGGCAACACGAGTCAATTGCCCGTGTTGGAGTGTGCGCGAGTGGCTGCGGCGCGTTACCATGGAAACCAGCCTGGGCTGCTGAAGGGTTGGGTCCACAGTCTGGTGATGTTTGGCCTCGGTGGCTCTGTGTGATCTGTGTCGACTGTGAGGACCACAAACATCTTCATCACCAACATCAACATCATCATCAACAACAACAGCAACAACAGCAGTCATCATAACCGTGAGTCACACACACTGTAGCCTATCTGGATACGCATCCCGCCCGGGAGCAAAGTACGCACTCACTCACCCGTAGAGTTATCGTGACAATCTTGAAGCAGAAATATTTTACGCTGGATAGTAGATACAATTATAATTTTTGTGTACATTAAAAATACTTAATGTAGTGTGCAGTGACAAAATGTTTAGTTATTTAAAGGATCTAATAAATTTACATTAAATTTATGCTGTGGCCTTTTACGTGATGCGTTATATCAAAACAATGACATTTCACGTATAACTAGGCTTTTCACGTGCTGCAGAAAGTTATGCTTAGAATAATTGTTTAATTCATAAATACATCATTCACTCCCACGTTATTCATATACGTAGAGACCGCTGAAGAGCAGATTCTGCTCTGTTATCAATAATTTATTGTTTTGCATACGTTGCAACCGTTCAACGTTCATTACAAAGCTTATTTTAAAAGCCCTTTAATGGATTTTACATTGTATAAAACTACTATCCATGTTGAACCAAAATATACAATTTTTATATTTTTAAATGCAGTTTAATACAAACAGTTACGCCATAGTAAAGAAAATAAAGTATACACTAAACTTTTTTTAACTGTAGTAAATATTTTGCAAAAACGTTTCTGTTACACAGTATGTAGTTAGAATAAAGTAGTATAATAATGATTACTCAACATATGGTGTTTTTGTTATACTATTAAAAATATGTTTATTTATATCATTGGTTATTTCCTACTTAAAATGTTATAGTCCGGTAAAAAAAATTGTTATCACTCACCTATTATACCAAAATAATAATAAAAAAAAAAAATAATTTGCTTATTAACAATTTTACATACTGTGAATATTACATTACCATCGGATATAGCATGTATTATATCCATTATTGCATATTTAGTATATATTTATTACTTAGGTGAAACGTACGTTTGAAAAATACACCTTGAATTTAATTTAAAACTACAATATGGTCTATTCGTGTTGAAACAACAATGAACTGACTATAAACGAAGTGGGAGACTCACTGGAGACCTACCTACCCAAATATGGAGATTAATTCCAGGTCATAAGTGTACATTATACAGGATATTAAATACTGCCATACACATTTTTCTGGCTGAGAAGATAAATAATTATGTCCAACACACAATCATTACCATAAATGTTTACAGTGTATTTGATTTTACTCAAACATCATTAATTTGTGGATTCAACTGGACCCTGATATAAGCACCACATGTAACGATGTAATAAATAGCCCTCCTCTACCAAAGTAAATAATAGACAGACGCTGAATTGTACCATAAATTGGATTCGAATTACAGGAATTCAATTAACACGTTCAGAATGTGATCTGCTTTGCGTTCTAACTGTATCGATTACAGCATTAGTTTACATTTGCAAACGGTCCAACTCCGCATTTACTGTATCCATCACACTTCCAAATAATTTACTTTTAACTTTTACACTTTAACAATAGATCATGTCATTGATCATAGTATTTTATTAAAAGTTTTTACCAACTAGTTTTTCTTTAATTTGAAACCGGATACCTGAATCAGCTAGTAGTCGTAATATAAGTAAAATAACTTACTATCATTTGCATACTCTAAAAAAAGATAGATTATACGTTTATTAACATGAGTAACATGTAGGAATTCATTTGCTATAAACAATGGTTTATATTTTGCCAAAAAAAGTTAAATATAAATCGCTGAAATGATCAAACATGTCTTGTGCAACTAAAACGATGACAGTATGTGCTCGTATATGAGACAGTAGGCCTACACGAGAGTGAAAACGTACCAAAATGTTTAATCATCGTTGCCTCTGAAAAAATGATGACGACTTAACATTCGACTTTTCTCCTTTATTTCTAAAGTTACCACAATGATACTCTTTAAACTATTATATAAAAATGAAATGGCGTCTGTATGTGTGTGTGAGTGTGTTACTTAATCACGTAAAATCTACTGAACCGACTGGGGTTAAATTTTATAAAAATATAGTTACTATACCAAGGATCCATTTAAGACTATTCACACTTCGATACTGACCCTTTACTACTGCTTTGTCCCTTTGGCTATTAAAGTTCAGAGATGAGGATCTTAAAAGATACTATTGATTGGTCTCCATCGCTGCAATTAGCAAACATTGTTTACATTTGCTGTGACATCTCAATATAGGCTAAATAAGCAGAACTGTCAAATGCACTTTAATTTACAATTCCACAGAGCTGGTTAAAAATGTAATAAGCCTTTAATATTCTGTAAAAGCACGTGGCTTATTTATTTATCTATTTAACCACGTATGGTCCATTTATTCTTAGATTTTGATAATTAATTGATTATTGAAGGAAATAAGTAATATTTTATAACAGTTTCTGCATCAATTTAGCTTACAAAACTAAGTAAGTATTTAAATTTTAGCTAATTTGAATAATTTTATTTTAAAGGTCTTTGTAAAAAAACAAGTAGTACAATTATAGTGTTTACATAAGTTGAATTATTTTGATATATTTTTGTTTGTAAATTTAATACATACTTAACATTTTTTTTGGATAAGAGCATACAACTTAAAAATATAAAGAGTTTTTTTCCAAAACAAATAGAGAGTACAAATAGATTGGTATATTTTTGCCAATTCTAGAAAAGTTACGTTCACACTATTTGCTATTTCATACATTTTAATAATATAATTTTAGATTACTACCCCTAATTATTATGCTCTATGATCCAGTGGTAGCTGCGACCTATCTTTATCATAAACTTTAGATACTTCATGTAGATTTCACATTGCAAGGGTATTTCAGATTGCAATAAGCACAATTCAAACATACATCAACCCCGTACAACGGACGGGTACTCTGCTAGAGCTATTAAATACTTGATGAGTGTTTATAATTATAATTTTATATTTTATTTTGAAAAGTGTGACATTTTGCGTAAGGAAGTTTTATCATAAACCTAGTATGGAAATCGTAGTATCCCCTAAATCATATGAGCTGTAGGGTAAGCCCCTTGTTGCTTTCTGGTTGGTTAGACAGGAATATAATCATTTTAATTTTTACTGTAAACTAAAAAGAGGTAATGCTTACCATAGAGACATTTTATCCTAAATCATAATCAAATAGTTTTAAAACTGTGATTCCTAAACGGAAAATTGAGTTTAGTATTTTTTTATGCTATGAGATGATTTTTTTAAACTATCAATGACATAGTTGTTGAATTGATTAAAGGTTACCAATACCATACCTTTACATGCATTTTTAAATCTCTTGTAAATTTGATCGGTTCTTAGTGTTGTGTTTCTTTCATACCCTTTAGACGTGGAAAGAGATGAAAATATTTAGTATACCATATCACCATTCATTTGGATAATTGACCTCAAATTTGAATAACAACAATGCAACAATACATGGCAACAATGTATCAATTGTTTTAATGTTTATAGCGCAGTTAATTTGCATAAAACAACAATGTGGGGCGATCGGTTGGAACAGGACGTGACGGCTGAAACGAATTGGAATAATTTGATCACCTTGGGAATAAACATCTGATGAAATTGTTTCGATATATTCAAAACGGGTGTAGCAAACCGATAATTGAAAACAATAGGGTTTAAAAAAGTAGTGTAAATAACTATGCTGCACTGTACTTAAAAAGTATTTCATTTTAGAAGTTAGCCTCCAGAGATTACGTTGAATGTAATAAAATAGTTTAAAACGTATAGTTTTTAGGTGACAATTGTTGGCTATAGTATGCTTGTACAATTCCAAGCAAATAAAACTTACTTTAGAGACAAATTTTAACCATTTTTCTGTAATGTTTAAAATAACAAGGCGGGATAATTCAAATGTCACTTTTAAGATGGTTTAAATATTAGGATTTAACTTTTCTTAGTTTCAATAGAGATCCAAATATTTTATTAAGGATAGAGGTTGTAGTTTCCCATCGTTTCAATAGAATTAAGGTGAGTGTTGATTATAAGAATGAATGGTTGATAACAATGTTTTATCCTTAATATTTAAAGTGAATAGTTTTGATCAGGATGCATATATTCATTTTTATTATTATATGTTAGCATTTAACTATTGTAAAAAATACTTTTCAACCCCGTGTTAAAGCTGTAGACAGTTTTAGAGTAAAAATCAACGTTCAATAGTTACGATAAGTTACCTACAGAGTTGCTGGTACCAACTACCGATCCTTGTAGAATACATAACTTTTTAGCCAAACCACGTTGAAAGTATAACTGTGAGCTAGAGCGTCTTTTATGTCATCTAAAAAAGTGCCAAAAAAGTATAAACTAGATTTATAGTTAGCAGCATACTTCGTAGAGGCTCATTATTTTGTAACCTACTGTAGTTCAATTTATAAATGGCTTCAACTGGTCCTTAAAGATCGAATTGTCCACATCAGAGAGACCGCCATTTGATAATAATGGTAAATTTTAACAATTAATTGCTAACGTAAATGATTTTGATATTTATAACGTGCATAAATATTTAATTTATATTCAGCACTGGTTAGTCCAAGTGGTATTTTTAGGTCAATGGTTTGATGAACTGACGGGGAGTGAATAATTTCAAGGATGCATTTCTTATATATATATACTGTACTAGCTGTACCCGCGGGCTTTGCCCCGTTTATAATTACATTATCTGATTTGTTTATGCGTAGTATGTAGGTCTATAGTAAATTGTTATCCTAAAATCATTTTATAAACATGAGATTTAAATTTTACAGTCTATCAAGAAGTTGATAAGTTACTAAATAAACCTATATTGAATATTTTTCACTTTGATTTGTACTAGATTTTATTTCTCTGCATTGGGTTTTCATCGCAAAGAGAAATATCCGAAACGATATAGCGCTCCATCAGCATATTTAGGTAAAGTTTCTGGATTCCTCACTCAAGGGAAAGAAAATAGCTACTTTGCATCGGTGACTAAATTTCATTACCATTTTAGCCATTTTTTTGGACCCGGGACCGATTTAATTTTTCATTTTGAGGTCCCTAGAGGCCAAAAACACCTTCCGTTCAAATTCATGTATATATATATATATATATTTATTTATTTATATATGTGTGTGTGTGTGTGTCCGTTAGCGCGATAACTCGAGCAAAAATGATCCGATTTTGATGAAATTTGGTACAAACGTGTAAACCTACGTTTATTCGAACGACTTCGCGAACCAGCATAATCGGACCATGGGAACAGGGGTTTATGGGGTAAAAATGGGGGTTTCCCATTTTTGACACTTAAAACAAAACATTTTGGAATTTATTTTTAAACCGTTTTTTTGAGCTTAAAAAAAGAAATAATTTATTATATTGAAGCGCTGTTGTATGCTTAATGGTCACGGAGAAAGTTAAAAAATAGTGTAATTTAAAATTCCCATGTTATTCTTACGGAGAAAATGAAAACTGTTGTAGGTTACTTGTTTATGGATATATATTGATAAAATTTGGCAAATTTATTTATTTTATCCTATACTATTGACGTATGGTCAAAAACACCTTTTACCTTCCTTGTAGCAGCAAACCTATACAGTCATTAAATCTAATGTTATTTAAATTGGGAATAAATATGTCTTATTTATGGAAATATTTTTGTAAAAATGTAATCGGACAAGTTGAAATTCGCTTAGTCTGCAGGTTTGCTGCGGCGGGGGTATTTAGAAATTGTTCATGACACTCGAAGTTAATCAAGCTTTAATTTCGCGATGGAAAAATATTAGAGAAATGTTATCCCTCATACACTCAACAATAGTTATAAAGTAATACTATACCCAACCAGCATGGTGTGGGTAAGTATGTTTGTGTGGTGTATAAGAGCAATTACAGTTATCATATAAAACCAAACACACACATTAATTGGCTCAAAGCTATAATGGTAGTAAATTTAACTACCTACTTTAGGTGATCATTTTTAATATATTATTAATTGCTTGGCATTACATTTATACTCAACAAAAACTCATTTGTATTTTCATTGGTCAATCAACAATGAAAAATGGAATGATAAACTACATTTATGTGTATTCTGTATTGCGAAAGTTACCATGCAGCATATTACAGTATACTATTTTACACAGGCTACATGGAGCAAATCCCAATATGTAATGAATTGAATTTCTAGCACATGACTAACACCTTTTTCATTAAAAGCTATACCAATGCCAGTGCAAATATGTCTGGTGGTGATAAAAAGTAGAATTGGTGGCAAGGTTTAATTTACAGAGCAGCTATTTTTCATCAGACAAGCTTCACTCTCATCACCAGACAGGTGCTGTAGCGGCGCCACGTTGTTCTAAACCCTTTTATTTTCCAAACGAAAGCGCCCGCCTCAACGTATTAGGGATATTACCTTCCCTCCTCTTTTGTGATGTTTTAACTGAAAAATCAAAACTACAAAAGTTTTACATTACTAGAGATCTGTACGAAATAAGAAATGTGTTGAAGTCTCTATAGCTTGAGGTTTAACAAATTTAATTTTCAATCCCAAAGTACATTGGTAATAAAGGTACTGAATTAAATCTAAATATAGCTTCTTATGTTTTAAATGTTTTAATGGCATGTGTAGACCACGTTTAAAATTGTTTAAACCGAATGTGAATTCAGCAAATAATTCGTTTTTCAATACACTTAAAACTGAAAAAGCTCATTCTCTTTACCTTTAAACCAAACGTGCAGCAAAAAAAACTATCTATCTTCTGTAGCGTACTGTTCAGCGACAGGTGGTGAGGGTGGTGGGGTTAGGCTCGTTGGAAAGCATACACATTATCTGTAGTCATAGAACAGTGGTCGTATAAGCTACGTGCTTTTGTTATCTAGTCGTTTAAAAAAAGCAATGATTCAGTCATTGCAACTCGCAGAGATGTTCGCTTGAAAAAAAAAACTTCTTCGCCTTGAAATATACATCCTGGTGTTTCGCCGTTGCGTTGCAGAATTATAATTTAATGTACTTATATCTAATCTCCATAATCAATATAACATGGTATTTATGATAGGAAACGTAATCACAAAAGATATCGCAGGCGAACACAGGGCTGCATTTAAACTATAATTAAAACATGCATTGTATCAAAGATGACACACCTTGCTCACTGTTACTGCAATAGTCATTAAAGCTATATTATTTTAAGGTCCAACAAACTAGTTCAATATTAGCTATAGTAGCTGCATTTACACTCCATTGCGTGTAATAGAAAAGCCTACAAACCTTAATTTGTTTTCAACTCTGCCGGAAAGTCGTAGCCCATCTGTCAGTTGGCACCACTGTCTCAGGTGGAGTCATGCCAGGCCCGTGAGACATGTGCTGCGTCCAGGCAGAGCGTGTGTTCCCCGCATCTGACAGTGAGGAGAGCGAGGAGCCTCCCTCCAGAGGTCTTTCTAGGACGTGTCCTCCCCCCAGGGATCTGCCCCTGTGGCGAGGGTTCCTCCCCGACGCACCACCATGCCGCCACCACACTGCCGCCTCCGCCGTCGCCGCCTCCATGCTGCCCGCACGGCGCTCCTTCTCCTCCTCAGTGGTCGCCGAGCTCAGCGCTGTCGGGCCCGGTCCACCTGTCGACTCCTGTGAATTCCTGGTAACATTGTCAGTGGTTGATGTTGTCTGACGAATGTTTCGTGGAATTGGCATGCTCAATAATTGTTTTGTTGTTGTTTAGTTCTTGTTGTGTAGTAATCGTTTAAGTAATCGATCAAGTAATCGTTGGAAGTTAAAATTCAACAATGCCTGTTCAATATTTGTCTGTATTATTTTAAATGTATAGTTAGTTATAGCGTTTACCAGTGAGTGATATACAATTATGCAGTTGGTATTGATTTATATTATACATTATTAGCCTCGAAAGAGTCGAAATCCTAGATTGAAGTTTGTTTATTGATGTACTAAATGTTTTAGAATATAATATATAATGGCTTGTTCTAACCTAAAAGGCCATAGCTTTCCAGTTTATAGGTAGAATACATTTAACATTTGAGCACGAACATCTTCACTATTTAATTGGAGAGCGAGGATATTGAAACAAAAATATGTTATTCTGTACAACTATACCTGATTTTTCAGTGACCCGACGTTGTTGTTACCAGCATTAACAGACTCTTATAAATTGAAAGGAAGCGAGAGTGGTACATTTTCAATTACTGAAAAAGTTTCGAACTTAATCTTGTACAGTGTTAAAACGCGAGACTGATTCTTCTAAAAGGGGTATACTTTTTAAATGATCTCAAGAAAACATAGTACAAAAAGAACTTCAATTTTATTCAGACATAACTATTCAAGACAAACTCTTAACAATCCATCATAAGGAAAACACTAATTGCAAAATGTAAACAAATAAAACATCTGATGAATTAAATTAACATATAAATAATCATCTAGAGACAGTCATTTTCAACATACTCCCACCTTTTGAGTCTTAAGTTTCCATTATTTAAAGACTCAAAACACATATTATCATATTAAAAGCTCAGTCTTTTTGGTAACTTAATTTGTTTTCCTCGTTTTCTAAATTTAACTTTATTTACAACTTTTCCATTTGAACTTTTTTTATCTTGCACTTCTTCTACTTCTTTTTTGTTTGAACTTTCTGAGTTCAAAATTGCTATACTTGATGATACAGACTTTTTAAATTCATATCCAAAAGCGTCTTCATCACATTCACAAATCTTATTATTTTCAGATTCCATCTTGACAGTTACAGGATCCTCTATATTAGGAATGTCTACACTACACTTGTCAGAAATAGGTGTTAACAAAGATGTTATAGTCATTACACTTGATCTACATGTCACTCCTTTTACTTTTCCTTTCCCCATTAACACCCAACCAAGTAAGGTTTCCATTGCAACTAAATCATTTGTCAAAACATGACGTTTCCCTGTAAACAACTTTCCACCAATATCAGATCCAATCAAAACTTAAATTGGCCCTTCTACAGTGTCAGAAACATTAATACCAAAAGACTGTAATTTGTTTATCCAAGGGCCCGCTTTGATTGTTGAAATATTATTACATATCACATCTTGATCTAATACCTCAAAGTTGCAATAGTAATTGTTACCCAAATCACTTAACCTTACTTTATGTCGATTGTGTTTTACAGCATTTGTTACTGATCCACCAAACAATGCATGATTAAGGGTTTCCTTTCCAAATGATACATACCCCATTTCTTCTGCAGTTTTCTTCAAAATGTAGGACCTTTGAGAACCAGAGTCAAAAATGACTCGTGCTGCTCGTTCTTTATTACTTCCTCTAATATTCACACGTACAATTTGTAAAAATACTTCAGAGTGTGCATTATTAGCTAAATTACTTTCACAAGGTACTAAAGTGTTATCATTAACATAATTTACATTAGATTTATCTTGAGACTTGTTACACATTACTGTTGCATGTCGACTATTGCAAAGAGAGCAGTTTAAGCGAACATGACACTTCTTACTGACATGGCCATACTTTGTGCAACGATAACAACATCTGTTACTTGATAATAGGTTTACCTTTTCTAAATGTGTCAGATTACTACAACTCTTACAATTTTCTGTCAAATGTTTTTCACCACAAAAAATACATTTCATAGGGGGTTTACCAACCTTTTGGTTGACAAGTCCGGCTGCAGTTGTTATTGATTCCATTTCGTCACTTAAGAATGGTTTGGATGACTTACCCAATTGTCTCTTCGAGTCCCCAAAACCAGAGGTAGCAAGTGAAATTCGCTCCTCATTTGTCACTTCAATACGCAGAAACTTCAAAAGTGCATCGAGTCTATTCTTCAAATCAGCTTCTGGATCAAAGTCGGAATGACGTTGCCACGCCCTTAAAAGATCCTCTGGCAAACACGACTCAACTAATGGGTAAAGAATAGCCGCACATTTATCAGTAGTTACTCCTAATGTGTCAAGAGCTCTGATTTGACATTCTAATTTGTCAAATAAAGTCGAAATCACTACCTTTTGGCTCAAGTTATTGAGTAGCAACTTTAAAAGTTCTCGAACATAGAGTTCTATCAAAAGACCATCCCTTCCAAAACGACTTTTTCAACTCTGAATAGCGTCTCTATAATTCTCTGATGTAGCAGGATAGCTATCTACAATTTGTCTCGCTTTAGAATTTGGAATAGTAGCCTGAACTAAATAGTGGAACTTATCAACATCATCAATAGAGGGATCTTCATCTATCCTCTTAAAAATTCCCCAAAAAGGAAGCCATTCTTTAAGATTACCGCTAAATTTTATTAGTTCAATCTTGGGAAGTTTAAGTTTGGTCTTTAAATTTGAACTTCCACTCTTAGTTGAATTACTAGTGACCAAATCATAATCTCTAGACTCATTTATTTTACTTTGTACCAAAACATTTACTTGATTTTAGTTTTCCAAATAACTATAAGCTTTAGACACTTCTTCTTCAAGAATTGCTTCACTTTCCTCATATTAAAATAAATGGTAAGATATCTTTGTGTCTAAATTCTTTAACTCTTCATAAATCATACTTACAGTTTGAAACCTACCTTTCAATTCATCTAAGTGAACCGTTTCCTGTGTGAGTTCATCCTTTAAATGGTTCACTAGTCTTGAAAAGTTTGCCCTAACAACAGTTCTATGTTTCTTGTTCTTATTAAATTCTCTAACATCAGTTTCACTCATCATACTGTCCTGTCACGGTCGCCAAATGCTAAAACGCGAGACTGATTCTTCTAAAAGGGGTATACTTTTTAAATGATCTCAAGAAAACATAGTACAAAAAGAACCTCAATTTTATTCAGACATAACTAGTCAAGACCAACTCTTAACAATCCATCAAAAGGAAAACACTAATTGCAAAATGTAAACAAATAAAACATCTGATGAATTAAATTAACATATAAATAATCATCTAGAGACAGTCATTTTCAACATACAGTATAACGAAGTAGTGGTTTATTTACGCCATAGATGAATCAGTTGTTGAATATCAGTTCAGGCATCGACTTTTCATATACAAAAAGAAAACTATAAAACTGTTTATTTAGTGGATAATTTGGTCACCTAAGCACTGAAGTAGGGAGAGGGTAATTTTTGGGAAGAAACAATGACAAGCTAACGAATTGTTTTAACACATTTTAAAACTGGCTTATCAATTGGCACTTAGTATGGAAAAAGTTCTTGGAATGGAGGTCGATGGGTGTGTTTATAATAAAACACTCGATTCTTGCTTACCTACAATATTGTAAGAAACGTGTGAATACGAAATGTCTACGTCTATTTGCTATGATTTGGCCAACGCTTTAATTTCCCTTTCATTTGTATTCACAGATACGCGGTCTTACTAGCTTTGAATTGTTAACTTTTTTTGTCACAATGACATTGGTCCTGTGTGTGATTGAGTATATTGTATACCATATGGGACAAGGTGAAAGTGGGGGTTATTTACTTGCATGCTACTGTGTTATTTTAGTCGAACGTCGTAAAATTTATGTGCTTTTCAAGTATCAGTAGTCAGTGTTGGCCGTTGTGGTAGTCCCATTAGTGTAATAATACTTAGCTTGTGTTATTTAAGTTGGATTCCCACAACATGCATTTTGTTATTTGCCATGATCGTGAGTCTAAGACTGGATTTCGATAACTATTATAATTTTTATATTTTTTTACCAAAATTTACGTATGGGAAATGTAGAGCTGACTTTGTTACCATCAAGCTTTAGAAGGTTTACAAGCTTTTGAGTTATTTTAGCATATTTTAGCGTGGATATTAAACTTTGTATACTTTGACTCAATTTGTACCTGTATTCTTTTAGTTGGATAAATATTCGCGGATTAATAATTTATAAGCATGATTTCCATATACATGCATGATTCTGTTTATAATTCTTGTTCATTTCTGTGTACAGTGGTCCAACCTATAGCGGTTGTCCGAGATGATATGGTTTATAACCTGATTACTAATCATTAATCAGCAAGGGATGCCTGAGAAGCTACAGTATTATCACCAATCGGTTGTATTAGAAGATCTGAATATCGCCAGTAGCGTCGTTCCGTCTACCCGGTCCTTCTCATCATAACATTTGCATATAAATGGTGTTTACTGAGGCACGGACTTCCACTCAGAAAATACAGATTCTTCTACTTACATTTTATGGCCAATTAAATGAAAACGAAACTATGCTAAAATAAGATAGGATATTTGTTTTATAAACGATATACATTAATATAGACTTATATATCACTTTACGTCTTTGGCGAAGTAGCTTCTTTGAAAAGGTCAATATCAATCTCATATTTTCATTTTCTTCCACAATAATTAGATGTAAAAGACATGAGGTTTATGAAGCAATTCAGACATCAAGTGGTTGGGAGCACTTTGGTGCAATTACATTTAGTTATTGAACATACTGTGGATGCCCAGAAACGATCAACGAACTCAATGAAGTTGAATAAAGATTTAAACATGATTTATGCTTATTTTACATTGTCATTTCTATGTGTGTGAAATACTAACTAACTTTTTCACTTCATTCAATATAACTTTTATATTATTTGAATTGTATCGGTATTTGTATTTATGTAAACATACCATATCGGCGATTTAACTCTTCAAGAAATTTTGTTTGTTTTTTTCAAGCGATAGTTAAATAAAAATTATTTTAATTAAAATTCTTAAAAAGTGTGCCAATATATAACAACACGCAAGTGAGAAACTATCCTCAGTTGTATGTTACATTAATTTATCAGAACGTTTTATAAATGTTAAATGTAAAATAAAGAATGTATAGTCTCGTTTTCTTTCCAATAAGAGATAGCTACCGATTTTATTTTTTTAGCATACCGGTAATTATTTTTTGTTTTTAATGCAGTATAAATTAGTTTACATAATGTTGAATGTATTTTAGTAGAATTTGTCATCTTTTATGTTCAGTATTAGAAAAAGGAAAAGCATAACATTTTGGGATGTCAAACATATACAGTTTTGTATCGTGCAAACATTTAAAATAAGGTAGAACGTTTTCTTTACGTTTTCTTTTCGATGGACAATTTTGAGTTCTAAAAGATAAAGATTATTACGAAAACATTATGTCATATTTCTTTTATCCTAACGGCTGGTATAATTTGTTATCCACCGGGGTTAAACAAATCAATTAGTTTATGAGTGTACATGTTAAGATTGTAAACCACCATTTTAAAGGTACAATTTAACTAGCTCAATAATATTCAATTTTTAAAACATAAACGACCCAGTTATTCAGGTGTCCACACAGTTAAAGCATTGTAATCAGCTCTTTACAACATATAACAAACACGGACGGTAAAATTAATATTTAGGCGTAAATCAACGTTTCTTGTATAACGGACGTTTTCAAGTATTATTGGCTGAAAGTCGACAATTATTGTTCATAAGGACTCTGAATTATAATTCGCATTTCCATTTCATCGAATTTGATTGTTTTTTAGTAAACTATAAAAGATAATGCTGAATGATATTTTGGAAAACAAATTTGTGTGGTATTTAGTTACATCAAACTATAAAGAGAGTATATTAGTAACTAAATATCGTGATCATTCGCTTATCTCTTACCAAAAAATAATACAATGCAAAGGAACAACAGTAAGAGCATTCATCTGAATGTAAAGTGACTGTGTATTTACTGGTTTTGTTACCAAATCCACAGTGAGCGTGGAGAAGTAAACTTTGGTTATCTGATACGCGCCGTTGCCTCAATAACTTGGGCCTCAGTTGTGTCTGCAACTGCGAGAATCGTTATTGTTGAAACTCCCTTTTGTGAGAGGAGTGAGAATGTCTTCATTTCATGCGGAATTGCGAGAAGAATATCAACACCGCAGCCTCGCGGTCTAACCGTATCCAGAGTGTGGATATGTGAGTTCTCTATCTGTATATTGTACTTCGGATAAACTAGTAGGATTTTTAACCTCCTATTATAATATACAGATTCAGATAACAAATTCTGTTTAGATATATATCAAGTCTTGGTAACTAAATAGGTAACTATACTATTATTATATATATATATATATATATATATATATATATATATATATATGTTAACAAATAATAAATACAAAACTCATAAAATAATTGATTGGTGGAAAATAATTTAGCCAAACACTAGGATAAAATGAACATGGCATACGATTTTTCATACTGATCAATATCTTTTTCAGAATTAAAAATTGTCTATCAAAAATAATATGTATTTGGTAACTGTATGTGTTTATTTGACATTCCTACATTGTATGCTTTCCCTTTTTCTAATCCTGAACATGCAATAAGACATATTTTACCACACTGCACTCAACATTAAACAAACTAATTTATACAGTTAATTTATTCAATACAATAAATAATTATAAAAAATATAAAAAAAATTCTAGCTTATTATTGAAAAGGAAGCAATACTACCATACATTAATTATTTTACATTATTTTAACATGCATAAAACGTTCTAATAAATTAATGTGATATAAAACAGACAATAGTTTCCGGAGTAAAATTAGAAGACAAAATGGAAAAATATGGACTAAAATTAGCATAAATTAGGAATTCTGGTGCGCCTAACAGTGGTCAACTAAAACCCTGACCAAGGAATATATTTAATGGATATTTCCATTATATTTAATGAGATACACTAAACTAACTCACTTTATTTCAATTGAATCAATAATTTACTAGGTTGTTGCAGAAAAGTACAACATTAATATACGATCCTATCAAAATTGTGTTTATTAATAATCGGTTGGGAGGTAACAGAGTTTACTAAAATGGTAAGCTTCGTTCAAAAGCATAGTCCGCTATTGTTCTGTGCTGTATAGAGAGGGATTATATTATATGGAGTACACGGCGACAGATGTGTGGGTCGTTCCATTATGATACTCATACTTGTATCGGATGTACAGGAGCCAATACTAGTGGCTGCTGTGACAGAAGCTGGAATACAGATTATTTATAGTTCTGTGCATTATTTAACTGTAAAGGAGGGACTTCGTAAGCATATTAATCCAAGGCATAATTGGCAACCCTCTACTTCCACCATTTTGCTCATATGTGGTATATGGGTTGGATATTTGCGGCTTCCTATTGACCCTAATTCCAACATATGTTACGACCACAGTGTGACAGGTTTGAGCTAATGGACAATTCATATATTGGCCGCTTAAATGTATTGAATATGAATTTAATGATTCTGTCACCGTTAATGTTAGCTTTATGGTTTCGTCCAAATGTTTTCTTGAAAACATATCTAATGAAATACATCCATTGGTTCATATTACGTTTGGATTTTATATAAAATCAAGTTTTTTTTTTATTAATAATGTATGCAAATTATAATTAAAATAAGGGAACCTACTTTCTGGAGCTGGATACTCACAATAAGTAGTAAAAGTAGTTTATAATAGATAATATAATTAGATTATAATTGGATAATAATTAGAACTTGAACAACATGTAATTTGAAACATCTAATACAAACAGGTATTACTGAAAGATTTAAGAGATAAGTTTAAAATGACGGATGTTGTTCTTTTGTATAAATTCCTTACGGAATTAGAATAATAGATAATATGAGCGAGTTTTTGGCCGAAAAGGGAAATTACGTAGGTGAGGAGGTTTCTTGATCAGGAAAGACTTACTCTTAAGAAAAAGCAAAGAATACTCTATTACAAACTTAAAGATTCCTGGTACTCTTATGGCATGCACCACATGTACGTCAAACAATGGACATAACAATCTCCTAAAAAGTATGAAGTATGTTAGTACAGATTAAATTACATTTCGCTTTATTACGCCTCTTCTCTTTGAACAAAGTTGTTATTTGATATTGGATTTTGCAAGCAGAAAACGATAGACAATTCTTGCATATGCGAAAAAGGTTTATGATTATGAAGCTATATCATCGCACAAACAATAATGTCGACTTTAGTTTACAGTGCAGTATTAAAATACTTGATAGTTAAAAACATGAATGTCTGTCATTTGGTACATTGCCCAAAAGTCACATAATTTTAAACATTAACCAAGTCAGTGAAACATGCTATACAAAGACGATTTGTAGTTTGTATTCTACAAATTAAATCTGGCATGCCTTAACTGACAGTTTTATTATAAAAAAATTTGTCATTAGCAACTCGCTTCTTGCACACTCAAGGCTGGCACTAATCTAGAAACTGGATGTAAAATAAATAAACTTATTATTTATTATTCAACCTAAAATTGAAAGGAACACATTCTTACACATACAAGTATTTTGCCTATGAGGTGAAGACCGGGCTCAGAGCACTGTTTAAAGTAATATAAATGCTAATCCAGAACCCGCCTTATCAGAGTGCTTACCAGTTGCTGGCTGTTGTCACAGACCCTTCGTGGCAGGGATTCATATACATAGGGAACGCCTCGCCAGGTAGTTTCAATCTATGGAGATGTCTGTATGTCCAAAAAATAACACCTTCCTCTGCAAATATTACTAATTGGTGTATAGTGGGATAAAGATATTGATAAAATTAAACTCTGGTTCTGTGGTCGTAAATGTTAAATACATTTCTTCAATTTTAAGTGAAATAAATTTTACATGGCGTGTACAAACTTTCTAAATAAATACGTGAAGTAATACAATATGCAATCACTTACTAATAATAGCTATTTACGTTACAAGTGTAGTAAGAGCGTTTTTACATCACGCAGGTAAATGTTGTGCAACGAGCGGAAGCGAGTTGCATAATTCTCCTAAGTGATGTAAACAAGCTCTTGCGTAACGTGTAATTAAACATATTCTAAAGAAATCTAGCTCATTTTAGAACTCTTTATCATCTACGAATCAGAACAAATAGCATTTAATATTTATATCCTGTTTGGAAGTGTTTAAGTTTTGGAACCTGACTTTCGAAGATTGGTGATATGGCTATTTTGACAATGCTGAAGCATAATATGACATGTTTATACTACATGTCATGTTGCAGGATGGAGGGGCAGTAACACCGCCATGCTCACCCACAGAATCACCGCCCCCGGCGCCCGCCCCCGCCGCCCCCAGCTACTACATCTCATCACTAAGGGCGTCAGCACGCCGTGGAGGCGGCATCAGCCCGGACAAAGAGAAGGACCCTGTCACCAAACTTCTCCGCTTCCTCAAGACCTTCTACAGAGAGCTGGCGTCACGTGACCCCGCTAACTACCCTCCCTGGGCCCCTCCCCTGCCCAGCGGCACGTCCTGTCCTGCTACCTTCGAGCCCTCACTACTGTTGGTGCCCACCACCAGTCGCGGGGACACCGACACCAAGGACCAAATACGGCTGGACCAGATATTCTCTGCAGTCAGAGTAAGTTTGGTGCTCCTTGCCATTTACTTCCCCTACTACATTTTATACGGCTTGCGGCCTGCTTTCGGTTGACCCTTACCATATGGTAAATTATCCGTTAAAAGCTTTCACAGATATATGTTATGTAAATTACGTTTACAAAGCATACATACACACATAGTACACATGTTTTAGTAAACATGAAACTTTAATTTTTTTATGACAAAAGTAATGGTGAGAATCCGATTACCGGCATTACTTCATTCACCTATTTTTATGGATATGTATGTATCGATTATCAAATCTTTTACTCCCAATGACATAATCCTTCTGTTTTAGTAATCATAGATTTTTTTCTCAGCTATAAATCTTATTATCACAGCGTAACTGACACCAACGTCAAGCATGTATGTTCATGTGTGAATTGTGAATTACGAGTATTGTACTCGCTATATTGTGTTGAAATCGTACGGAACCAAAACACATTGATCAAATAATATCTAAGCTAAAGATTGGGTTAATCCTGTACAAAGCTATGCCATATTCCCTTAAGTACATATCCGTGAATTGTGTAGACTTTAAAAACCTCTGCGTATGTTTCAGACATCAGAGGGTGTCGTCCACGAAGCTCCGAGACGAGTAGTCATCGAAGGTGGTCCTTGCAGCGGCAAAACAACGTTGTGCCTCAAACTGCTGCACTGTTGGGCGGCCAAAGACGACTGGTTCGGTCCTCAAATACAACTAGCTTTATTTGTACCACTTCGGGAGCTCAAAGGCTCTACGATATCACATTACCTTAGTAAAGAGTTGTTACCTAAAGCAGCTGGGGGAAGTAGTAGCTTTCTGCAAGTTTGGAAAACGTTAAATCAGTTAGAAGATAGACTGTTGTTTGTTCTAGATGGCTACGACGAAGCTTTAAGAATCGGTGGATTTGAAAGTGGTAACAAATCCACAAGTAATGGAGTTTCCGGCGGTAGAGAAGTTCTTGGAGACACCCTCGAATTACTGGAGGGCAAGATATTTCCAGAATGTAGAGTTATCGTGACGTGTTGTGCAGGATGGAGTAATGATCTATCAAACTACGTACAACGGAGAATCGTATTAAATGGTCTAGATTGGCAACATGTAGAAAAACTAGCTAGTGCCTATTTCGTGGGTAGTAAAAAACAGGATCATGTTACTCGACTTTTAGACACCGTGTGCTCTAGCCCAGCCGTTTTGAGGCCGTTAGCTGCATGGCCTTTGGGCTGGTTGATGCTATGTGTACTATACGAAGAGGACTGTGGATACATTCCGACCGACACGTTGGATCTTCACCAGGCTTTATTCAAGTGCCTTATACGTCGTAGTCTGGTGAAAAGAGGAGATATGCTTACGTGTCCATTAAGCAACTCTACCGATCTCCCTGGCCACTGTAAAAAGTTACTAGCAGAATTTGGAAAGCTAGCCTTAGCTTGCATCAAGGAAGATAGATTCATGTATACCGATGGAGAAATTCGATCACATTGTCGAGGAGGCAACCTAGAAGTAACCGAACTCGGGTTTTTGATAAGAGGACTTAACTTTTCTAAATGTCACGTTCAAAAGAAGAGATCGGACTGCTACACTCCTATACATAGATCTTTTGCAGAGTTTCTTGCCGCATATTACATATCATCAGTAGTGCATTACGCAAACATTCTACGAAGAGAGCTCGAAGACCTTCCTGGTCTTACAGGAAACCCTAATGGCATAACAGATTCTAGCACACTTTTAATCTTGAGATTTCTGATGGGATTGCTTGGGAGAAAAGGTCATCTAGTATTTAACCAGTTCAGTCCATTGGACGTGCCAACGAGGACACTATTCATGCTTCTTCAGGCGTGTGGGCCATCCGAGGCCAACGTCGCAGCAGTCAGCCGGTTGCTGGGAGCTTCGACTGGCTGTTGGGTAACAGGAATGGGGAGAGTGAATCCAGGGTCTAATCCAAAAGTTCCTATCCCTCTGGTCCACACTGCTCCATTAGAGCTAGAAGGGTGGGCAAGTGTCCTTAAAAGTGAAGCGTGCTCTTTAGAAGCCCTAGAACTGGTTTTCCAATTCGATAAAGGAGCCGACTGTGAAGAGCTTCTAGACAGTTTCTTTGCGGCGTTGTCGGCCAATGATAGCGTCAGAATAGTGAGGATTTCGTCACTGTTAGGACATGAGTTTACCACGGCTGAAGTAGAACGTCTAGCAGTGTATGTCAAAACTACTTTGCCCAAACCAAGACTTCACACTTTCGAGCTTGTCATCACTTGCCTCGAGGATGGAATACAAGAAAGGTAATTGTTAGTTTACTTTATCAAAACTTTTATGATTATGGTCAAAATTATCCTAATAAACCTCTAGTTAGAACAAAATAAATTATTAATAGTCGTATGCATACAATTTTTAGTTTAAAAATATAAATGGAATTATTTACGCAATTAGTTAGTTTTGAGATATGACTGATATCTAGATTCTTATGAAAATAAAACCTTTTTGACAACGTCAAAATCATACGTAACGCTGTTATCTTTATTTGTTTGGCCAATAAATAATGAAAATTAATGGTTTTTAAATGTCATCGAACTTTGATGGCTGTTAAATACAAATTGATGGTTTTATAGTGGTTTATGTCTTAAAGAAGATGCATATTTTTAAAAATATTTCAAGTTGAATGTTGTTTCCTCATCCCAGCTGGGGTATTGTATACAAAAGGTGATTTGTAAATTAAATTCTCTTCAGTCCTTTTGGCCTTAATGGACCAATCAAAGACATTTATTTCCAAAATCGTGTTTGGGTATAACCGGAGATTAGGGACTTTGGCTATTTATAGACTTGTGCATTCGCTTACTTAAGATATGATGGCTGGGGTGTATGATCATTTTTTTACGATATGCATCAGGCTAACAAAGCGAATTTGATTCATCAAAATAATGTTTTAGGCATATATATTAATAAAGCAATGCAAAAGGTATTTAATACCAGGATTAAGTTTTGTCAAAGGGCAAATTGTTATTACGCCGGGCGTTTTATACAAGATTAGTAAATAATAATCTTTAAACTTTATAATTCAAACTGTGATGTACATGTGGGAGAAGCGAGGGTTTCTAAAAACTTTCATATAGAAACTTTTACTCCCCAAGTAAGTTGATGGACAAGTCACCAATTTGTAAGTTTTAAGGCTATTCCATTAAGCGGTAACTCGTTCCATACGATTGGCATCCTCCAAATTTCATCTCGTTATCTTGAAATATATTAAAGTAATTAAACGTTTAAAATACTCGTACATCAAATTATTGGATCTTTAAAATAGAGCGCACAAATTATTCAAAAGCACCTTTGCAAAGGTGTGTTTTTTTTAACAAACTGTAATTTTGGTTATGAAATAAGTTGGTCTATTTATTATATATAATGCATTCTTGATATTTTTCTATATCGTAATGTGATAAATATACATTCATATATGTAAATTAGCCAGAAAAATAGTAAGATTGTTAATGAACTTTGATAGCCTTATTCGAAACCTATAAAACATAGGATAGAACTTGACAGTCCACTTGTATATTTATGTAAACATTATTCATACATATGATCGCATTTAATTGCACTTGTAAACACATCATCCAAGTTTTTAATGGTAATGGTCATACAAATTATATTGTAATTTATCACACTTTAAATGTGACGAAGGGCTTAAGATGACTTCATGTCCGAAATGCGTCCTCTCACAAAATAAATTATTGAAAAAGTAAGTAAATACAATATTTAAATATTCAATCTTTATCAAGAATTACTTCAGTAAACTCGATGTTTTGTCTGTTGAATTGCATGGTAAATTACTTCTAAGAACGATGCAGAGTTGATGTATTTTGTATACAGGTTTTTTGGTAATATTTTACATCTTAAATAATTTAACTTTATGATGAAGATGAAGAAATTTTTGTAGAATCTCATTCAAAACCCCGAAATTTATATAGTATTCCTATTGTAAATTGTGTGAGAAATTTAAAATGGCCTTTATTTTAGCAATAAATAATAAATGTGTTTTTATAATAAATGTCATTCTTACACAGTAATACAATTTTTTTCATGAAAACTACCATTATTTGAACCTTAATTTATCTTTTATCTTGTTAATATTTGAGCTGGGAACCTCAAATATGTATACATAAATAAATCCCCATTATACTGTAATTTAGTTTGACTGATAATTCATTCCGGTATGTTTTTTCCTTCGTGATGGCATTATTAATGTTGTGGCTACATGGCTTTGCCATTAATTTGAATCTGCTAATTACTGTCTCAACTATACTTTGAATGTTAAAATTATCATATGATCAGCTGACTGTTTGTAAACTTTATATTTGATATTATTGTAGTTCTTTCTTAATACAAAAGTGTTTCAATGTTATAATATCTTCTTTTAATTAACTTATTTTGTGTTAGTATATTTATATAAGGCACAAGCCTTATTTGGTGACCCCTTACTGTACATTTTATTGTCATTAATTAAATTAGACCATAATGAATAATCAAGAATCTACTCCAACTCCTAGTACACCAGAGGCTTTACAAATCTCGCCAATTCAAGTGAAAATTCCACCATTTTGGACAAAAAATGTTTCACTTTGGTTTCATCAAATTGAATGTCAGTTTTCTCTTCATGGAATTTCAAAGGAAAGAACTAAATACAATTATGTAATGAGCTCACTGGACAATGAAGTTGCAAGCCACCTTTCAGATTTTATTACCAAACCTTTGTCTCAAACTCCCTACTCTGACTTAAAAGAAAGGCTCTGCTCAGAATACGAAATTTCAGAAAATGCCAAACTAAAACAACTGACAACAGAAGTTTTTCTCGGAGATAAGAAGCCGACAACTCTTCTTCGTGAAATGAGAACCTTAGCAGGCACACAGGTAACTGACAATTTTTTGAAAGTTATTTTTCTACAACGTCTACCTAGTCACATTCGTACTGCTCTAGCTGCTTCTCAAACCAATTCTCTTGATGACTTAGCTAAATTAGGTGACCAAATAGCTGAACTATCAGCTGTCGACAACTACGTTTGTGCTCAAGGAGATGTTGCACAATCTAGTGATCGGATTGCCAACTTAGAAAAACAAGTCAGCGAACTAACTCAGTCTATTGATGGACTTCTTAAGTTAAGTAAACGCAACTTCCCAGTCAAACATAAGAACAATTACTATCCTAAAGAGAGAAATGATCAAGGTGAAATTTGCTGGTATTATAACAAATTTGGTGAAAATGCTAAAAAATGTGTTCAACCTTGTTTGTTCACACCAAAAAAGAATGCACAACAGGAAAACTTCCTGCCCCGTCACTAAATGCGGCTCAGGATGACAGGGGCTTTCAATCTCGCCGCTTATTTGTAACTAACTTACACTGTGGTCGTAAGTTTCTCGTGGATTCTGGAGCAGACATATCTGTTTTGCCTCTCACAAACAAAGACAAATGTGCTGTAAGTAATAGACAATTATATGCTGCCAATGGTTCTGTTATCAAAACGTACGGTAAACAAGACATAAAACTTGATCTAGGCTTGAAAAGAAAGTTTGTCTGGTCTTTCATAGTTGCAGACGTAACCCAACCCATAATTGGCGCAGACTTTTTATCTCATTTTGGTTTACTTGTTGATATCAAAAATAAAAGACTAATCGATAACAGGACTCAATTATCTGTTATTGGAATTCAAAAACTTTCAAATCAACAATCTGTATTGGTTCTTGACCCAAAAGGTAAATACTCAAAACTTATCAACCAATATCCTAATTTACTGAAAGAAAATCCCAATTTTCAAGTTTCACAGTACACAGTTTTTCACTCAATTCAGACAACAGGTCAGCCTGTGAACTTTAGAGCTAGATGTTTATCTCCAGAAAAACTTGCGGTAGCTAAAAATGAGTTTCACAAGATGGTTGAGTTAGGCATTTGCAGACCTTCAAAAAGCTGTTGGTCCAGTCCACTTCATTTAGTTCCTAAAACTGATGGTACATGGAGACCTTGCGGGGATTACCGTGCCCTAAATGCAAAAACAGTTCCTGATAGATATCCTATACCTTATTTGCATGATTTTAACAGCCAGTTAAATGGAAAAACTATATTTTCCAAAATTGATCTTGTTCGGGCTTTTCATCACATTCCAGTAGCTCCTGATGACATTCCAAAAACTGCTGTCATAACGCCTTTTGGATTATTTGAATTTCTAAAAATGCCATTTGGATTAAGGAATGCTGCACAAACTTTCCAGAGATATATTAATTCTCTTTTACATGATCTAGAGTTTACCTTTTGTTACTTAGATGATATTCTAGTAGCATCCTCCTCAGAAGATGAACATATTAATCACTTGCAAACTGTTTTTGATAGACTTAATAAGCATCACATTAATATTAATACGTCAAAGAGCGTATTTGGCGTGACTGAGATATCTTTTCTTGGTTACACAGTTTCGAAACAAGGAATTTCTCCTCTTCCTGATAAAGTTGAAGCTATTGTTAGTTGCAAACTTCCTGAAACCATTCTTGAGCTTCGTAGATTCCTTGGACTTATAAACTTTTACAGATGTTCACTTCCTAACGCAGCTTCTATTCAGCAACAACTATTTGATTTGTGTAAGGGTACACATAAATCTGATAAACGAAAAATAATTTGGACTTCAGAATCTAAGAAAGCTTTTGAGGATGCAAAGGGCCAGCTAGTCAATGCCACACTTCTAGCACACCCATCTCCTGATGCTCCTTTAGCTCTCATGGTCGATGCATCAAACTTCGCTATAGGTTCGTCTCTCCACCAGATTTGTAATGGAAACTTTGAACCTCTTGGGTTTTTCTCTAAATCCCTTACAACAACTAAAAAAAAATACAGTATCTATGACAGGGAACTCCTGGCTGCATACCTATCTGTGAAGCACTTCCGTTATCTCCTTGAAGGGCGAAGTTTTGTTATATATACAGATCACAAACCTCTATCTTTTGCCTTCAATAAACCCTCTGATACATCTAGTCCAAGGCAATTGCGTCATCTAGACTTCATTGGACAGTTCACTACCGACATAAGGTATCTTCCAGGAAAACAAAACATTCCTGCTGATTTCATGTCAAGAATAAGTGCTATTGACCTACCTTCATCTACATCATTTGAACAAATTTCTGAAACTCAATCTCAAGATGCTGAGCTTAAAAACCTGAAGTACTCAAACACAACTTCTTTGATATTCAAAAATATTTTACTTCCTAATGGCTCAGAGCTGTGTTGTGACACAAGTACTGGAAGGCTACGACCATTTATTCCTCAGCAGTTCAGAAAGCAGTTATTTGACTCCCTTCACAACCTGGCACATCCTGGAATCAAAGGATCTCTGGACCTTATTAAACAACGTTTTGTTTGGCCTTCCATGAATAAAGATGTCAGACTTTGGGCCAAAGCATGTGTAGCTTGCCAGAAATCAAAGGTTTGGAAACATACTACTTCTGAGATTGGAGCTTACAACAACATTAATGGACGTTTTTCTCACATAAATGTGGACATAGTTGGACCCTTGCCGCCTTCTCAAGGATTTACGTACTTGCTAACTATCATAGACCGCTTTACACGATGGGTCGAGGCAACGCCTATCAAGGATATTACTGCTGGAACAGTTGCAGAAGCACTTCTTTCTACCTGGATTGCTAGATTTGGAGTTCCTCAAAACATTACTACAGATAGAGGAAGACAATTCGACTGCAATTTATTTAAGGAATTAACAAAACATCTCGGTATCCATCACATTAAAACTACAGCGTATCACCCTGAAGCTAATGGAAAGATCGAGAGATGGCACCGACATCTGAAATCTGCATTAACAGCTCAACTCGCATCTAACTCGACACAGACGTTACCAATGGTTCTACTGGGACTAAGATCTTATATTATTCCAGAACACAATGTTACTGCTGCAGAAATGACACTAAGTCAGTCCATCAGACTGCCATGCGATCTTTTTCAAACCACAGAAGATACATCAACAAATGTTCCTGATTTAGTGTACAATTTGAAAAGAAAAATGAATGATCTCAAACCAATAGAAGCCAAATATCATTCTTCTAAGAAGGTCTTTGTTCATCCAGAATTAAGAACATCCAACCATGTTTTTGTTCGTCATGATTCATCCCGAAGACCGTTGCAAGCTGTCTATGATGGCCCTTACCAAGTGGTTTCGCGATCTGACAAGTGGTTTACTATTCTTACTCCACGAGGACCTACGTCGATTTCTATTGACCGACTCAAACCGGCATTCCTCCTTCAAGATTCTATGAGGGATACGACCATTAATGTAAGAAAAAATGACATGCAATCTAGAGAAACTCAAGTAGACAAGACCAAAGACAGAAATGAAGATGTTGACCTTAAAAAAACACTGATTTTTACAAGATCAGGTCGTAGTGTTCATCCTCCGCATCGTTACGTTCTTCGTTGACACTGGGAGGGGAGTATGTGGCTACATGGCTTTGCCATTAATTTGAATCTGCTAATTACTGTCTCAACTATACTTTGAATGTTAAAATTATCATATTATCAGCTGACTGTTTGTAAACTTTATATTTGATATTATTGTAGTTCTTTCTTAATACAAAAGTGTTTCAATGTTATAATATCTTCTTTTAATTAACTTATTTTGTGTTAGTATATTTATATAATACTTTGAATGTTAAAATTATCATATGATCAGCTGACTGTTTGTAAACTTTATATTTGATATTATTGTAGTTCTTTCTTAATACAAAAGTGTTTCAATGTTATAATATCTTCTTTTAATTAACTTATTTTGTGTTAGTATATTTATATAAGGCACAAGCCTTAATGTTATTCTTAGGTTGTCGGTTACTCATCACTAAAATAAATTAATCACAATTTACTAAAAAATGTCGAGGTATATTTCAAGTTTACATCAAAACTCATCTTCAGCCTCTAGTAGTTTTTGACTGATAATCCAGGGTTATTAAACACCCTGTATATGTATATACCTATATACGTAGGCCTATATATTTCACACTTTTCTTAGTTCCACAAAAACTGAGCGGAACACAATACAATACCTTAATGCTGTTAGGGAGTTTTAATTTTCCGGAGAGGAGGTTAAAAACACTTCAGGGCTCGTCTTCAACAGTCTATAACTTCATTGATAAACTCGAGGGAAATCAAAGTTGCGCACTTCATAACTCCGACAACGTTCAGCCGCGTCCTTAAACGACCTTCGTTAATCCAATTTGGTTTTATTGTACTTAGTTGATTGCGGATTGCAGTACCGGTGGTTTTAATGTGCAATAATCATGAAAGTATCTTCAAAATTAAAGGTTGTGTGTGCAAGTATGAAAGGGTACTTTAAGAAAACATTTATATTCTGGGACTTCCTATTACGTAGCAACTGTATTATATTATGAGAGATTCTCTGTACCGTATTAGATATTCCCAAGTTTTAAGTTACAGTAATTTAAATCCCTCTTTATATTCTATTACATTCAAGCGTTTTAATATTAGTAACAGGAGCCCCCTACACAGCTGTAAAACCAAATTTATAGTTGAGTAAAAAGTAAGCTAAACGAAACAACCAATTTAATTAGTGATCATTTAGCACGTTAAGTGCCATGCCAGTTTTTTGTTTGATTTCCGCAGTGCCAAACAAGATTGTAGTTGTTTTTTTCCTAAATGATTTTTTATGCTTGTTAACCATAGTTATTAAGTGTCCATACAAAAGGTAAAGATGTGCATCCCGACAAAAATTTTGACTAATCAGGTCGGCACTGAACAGTTAAAAAACATTTTCTATAATAAATATTGCCGATCCGATCGGTAGTCAGGTCATTTTTTTATTTTGGAGGGTAATTAACATCTTGTTGTTGGCAGTAGCGTCATGTCCTGCCGAACGTCGTTCCCGCCCCATCTCTGTGCTTTACACATCACCCCCCCCCCCCCCCAGCACTATCACCCACCACACCAAGTGGCATTCACTCAGTTCTAGTCACCCACGGTGTAGGTTTGTGTACTTAGTGTATCGGTGAGTTTATAGTTGTCACTGAGTGGACTAGGCGGTGACTTGATTCAAAACAAATAAAAATTTTTTTGTCTTTTTACCTAAATGTTTTATTTGTTTATATTTTTGTTTTATCTTCAAAAAAAGACTGATAAAAAAACATATTATGTTTTCATTTTACACGTTTTGTATTTACATTGCTATTTCTTCAGTAGCAAAAGAAATTAACAAGTATCATTTGACTAATTGTTAGAGTTTGGAGTTGAAAAAATATTATAGAAGTTATTTTTTAGGTTAAATAACAAAAAAAAAATGTTGTTTTTATAAATTACCAATATATTTTATTTATTTGCCATCAATTTCAAGTTATATTTTTAATCGGATGTAAATCGGTTACATAAAGTGATTACATCTATTTTGTGTATATGCAGAAGTCTTTAGAGAGCCAGAGCATCAGCAGAAGGCAACAGTAACGCCATCTATGAGATATATGATGTACATTGTCGATTTAGTTCGTCAGATTACTACTAGTGCACAACCCTGGGCACCAGCGCCACCAGCCCCATCGGCTCGGCATGTCGCTCCACACACCCTACCTACACCTATCCCCGGGGGCCGGTGCAATTGGACCCACGTGGCACGTATTTCATAATAATCGTTAATTAGTCTCGAAGCCCCAAGCTGGTCTGGATCGCCTGTCTAATATCTAAGAATCAACTTGCTGTTTAGACTACACGTGAATGATAAGATACCTCTTCTTTATTACCTAAAACGTTTGCTGAAAATAACTTGGGGTGAACTCATTATTTGTTTTAATGAGTCGGGTTTTTTATTGATCAAGCACCGTAACATTGTATATATTACTTTAAAAATACAAAAATAATTAGCAAACAGTTATTTGTTTTTCACTGGTTGACAAATAGCCGCTACCCTCAAACCACACCGCCGGAAACTACTTCCATTCTCATATGTTTCAGCCGATATAATTTCGATTATATACGTTGTTCCAATATACATTGTTTATTCATCCCTCGCCTCGTGTAGGTTCCAGCCGCTTGTGGATGCTCTGGCCGAGTCTGTCCAGCACGCAGCCTCCGCATCGCTCAGTAAGCTGGTTCTGGATCTCAACCTGGGGACCTCGCAGGTAGCTCAGCTGTGTGGCGCACTAGAGGACGCTCCTCAAGTCACCGTGCTGCATCTCCCTCACCTCGGCTGTGGCAGAGACGGCCTCAAGGCCATCGCCAACCTGGTCAAAGCGAGGCCTCTGGTGGCCCTAAACCTTACCGGCAGCTGGGGCATGCGTAGAGACGATCCCCCTTCCTCCACCGGTAACCGGGCTTTTATTATTATTTTGCTCTTTTATGTTTTTTTCTATTGCCTCACATAAAGGGACGTGCATTCTCAGTCAACAATTATACACGTGGTGTTTAAAACTGATAAGACGTTGTGAGTTATATTAATGATAAGGGAAATTATAATGTGAAATATTAAATATTGGTAAAGATGGTTGATCAAACATTCATATTATCCTCAAATAGAGAAATTACAATTTTCAATCATTTACGCTTAACAATAATTGGTTGTTTATGTCGATTCTATGTCTATCCTAATTAGACCAATCATCCGACAATTACATTTTATTATCGATCCTCACGATTTTATCACCGATCATGAACTATCATCGCTTTTGTTCAGGTTCAGGAAGTGGTAGCAGTGGAGGCGTCGGAAGCACTATGAGCACTTTACAGGCTACAAAGGCATCCTTGTCCCCCAAGACCTCGGGCAGCTCAAACTACTATTTCTCGTCACTACCCAGAGGTATCATGGGAGCCTACAACAGCCTGAGCCGACCGGCCACTCTGCCTCGTCAGCCTCTGCACCAGATCATGCTAGATGGCTACGGCACGACCGACCACAAGAGAAACTCCGATTCAATTCTGTTCCAAAGATTGTTTCATCCGTTGCCGACGTGTGACCCAGCTGCCCACGCCAATTCGGGGTTCCACGATGTATTCGAGGCCATCCGCAGCTCCGGGTGTAAGCTCAAGAGCCTCAACGTGAGCAAGTGTCTGCTAGGTGCTGAGGACGCGCTTTGCCTGGGGGAGACTGTCAGACGGTGTACTTGCCTGGATGCCCTCAAGCTGGAGGGTGGCACAAGACTGGGCGAGGTAAATAATAATGTGCTGTCTCACGTTAGACCGGGTGGTTTTACAATATCAATAAAATACTATTTGCTTCAATGTATTACGATTTTGTATATTTTTACAAAAATAGTGGTCACTGTTATCCTTACCCCTGGTTATCCTTAATTTGCTTTTTTAAGGTAAAACTTTCTTACCGATGAATTTGCTTATGTAAATGCGAACTACTATCAATTATATCAATTTGGTTGAATCAGAAGTAATGGAGAAAGCATATTTTTTTATTATCATGAGTCAAAAGCTCTGCTTGGAGTCTTTTTAAAGTGTAAAATGACCCATTATAAACAGTCATGATGAAACTGTATCCCAGCAAATAAAATCAGTCAAAACATTAGCCAACAGCATCACACGCTGAATCTAACCGATATAGCAAATACATATACTCGTGGTACTATATATATATTGCACATATCTGTAATATTACAGTAGCACGTATATACAGTCAATGGTACTACTGTAGTGAATGATGTGTCTAGGTATTGCCGGTGCTACTAGGTCTGGGTGACAACAAGTCTCTGCAGCTGCTAGACCTCGGCTCCCAGAGACTGGTGCTAGAGGACGGCCCTACCCAGCTGGTATGTCAGTCACTGATCAAGAACAATAGTCTCAGGCTGCTCAGTCTTGAAGGCTGGACGTTCAGGATAGAGGTTCGTTGCACTGGGTCTAGCATTAAATATACTTATTGTAAAATGTATGGTGGGACCAAAACAATACAGGGAGTATCTCCCATGCAACATTAAGATTATTTACCTTACGTTTTAAATATATAGTTTTTTGAAGAGTGTAAGTTTTAACCTTTATTTAATGAGATCATATAATATATTCTACCAGCTAATCATATTCTACATTTTATGTTAAGCATAATCCGTTATGCTTTTAACATAAGTCTTTTTTTCTTGTAGGAAGAAGGTTCACTGCCAGTTTTTCTCGCCTTCCTGCAGGCCACCTCCATCCGTGACCTGGTTCTGGCCAACTGTCGCCTCCACATGGCAGTACACGATGGCCGCCTCTCACGCCTGGGTCGCCAAGACGACGCTGTGGCAGAACTTCTTACTTGTCTGCCGCACTTTGTCTCTCCCAGCATCGTGTTCCTGCGACTCGGAGGGTTCCAAGTGACGGTCAACGACCGAGTGGCTCTCAGGGGTCCTCACCTGCTACCGTTCCTCAGAGGATTCACTCACCTCAGCGATCTAGACTTGTCTATGGAGAAGCACTCGGTCGGTCACTCCAACAGCAATCCACTCATCATTGACGACAAGACGTTAATAACCTTCTTTCAGACCTTATCCATGCACTTCAGGACTCTACAGAGTCTCAAAATGAGCTATTGGCGAGTATCCTTGGAGGAATGTGAAAAAACTTTGAAGACGATTGGAAGGTATTTGAAAACTTGTTCTCTGAGCTACATAAAGACTAACGGTCTGGTGGTGACGGACAATGTGCATAGAACCTCTTTAGAACACTTGTTCCTCCAGACGGTGGTGTCGAGTCTCAGTCTGCTGACGTGGATGAGTATTGTAGGGGTCACCCTGACACCTGGGCAGGCAGCGGGCTTCGGAAAATGTATCCGGGAACGGTTCCCGGGAACCATGCTGGAGTTGAGTTCGAAGGATGTCGGGAATGAAGCTCTCAAGTCATTGATATCGTCACTAGAAGAAGGGGGTAAAATAGAAGTCCTTTACCTTGGTGGTCCTTCTTGTAATCTTCGTATTCTTAGGATCTTAAAAAATCAAAAACTAAGAGGAAAATTTCGCCGCTTTACCTCTTTAAAGGAATAGTTTTGTCTACGATTCGTTTTATACAATGTAATGTTGATGTTGAAAGTATTTATTTTACTTACAAAAAATATAACAAAGAAAATAATTTAATAACAATTAATAAGTTTATTTTTAACTTTCAAATATCATTTTAATCGTGTGACTATGTAATTGTATCGTAAGAACAGTCCTACGATGAATTTCAAAATAGTATATTTTATATGCTTGGCAGACATCTATCAAACTGAGCAGGTTTTAGTGTTCTCTACAAAACAATAGTCTGACACTGTGGTGACCATAATATTAATCAATCACAGCTCTTATTTCTTATAAAAATAATTTAAACAAAACCAACGTTACTATTTCCAAAAAGCTAATTTCCTATTATACAAAAATCCAGCTTTTTAAAATTAACAAGCTTTAATTTCTAATTGCATATTTAACAATACTTTTGTTGTTGTATCTTTCATATTTTTTCATAGTTAAGTAAGTTACCTTTTATATTTAGTAGTTGCCCTATCGTTCTTGATGTTGTTGTTCAGTAGTTACTGGTGCGCATTTCGCCTAATTGAGGAATCTTTAGAGAATCTACAATATTTCAACTAAATGTTCAATGTTTATGAAACACTATTGTTAATTTAACTACTGAACAACAACATCAAGAATAATTAGGCAACTAAAAAATACAAAAGGTAAGTTAATTATAATAAGTTCCTGGAAACTAGGTTACACTGTAAATAATATGTTCTTACGTTTTCAAGCTTTCCATCGCAGATTATGATTGTTTGCTATACATTCACCATGTTATTTAGAAGCACCGAACAATATTTTGATTCGTCGTAGGTCCAGTTTACTGTACTAAGATGTATTAAAATTCCCTTGAGGTTTTAACTGGTGAAATATGTAAATAACCATTGGATGTGACTGATTTTGAAAGCTATGTTCGTATTAGTTCAGTCGCGAGTATGAATATAACTGTATTGTAGGTGATAGTGAAAATAAATATATAATCGTAAATCGCACAACTGTTACAACATAAGTGAAGAAAAAACAAATATTATTTGTTTCCCATTTTTTTTATATCGAAAAATGTTTTTTGAGTAAATGTGTATTAATATTTTTTACCTTGTATATTATGTATAAATTTTTAAAAAATCTGGAAATACATAATTATTTTTAAGCTCTGCTAATTATTACTGTATATATGAGTGGTGATATGACTTTGAATAGCTATGGTTAATAATAGTTGTATAGACTTGTGTTATGTTTTGTAATTAAAAATAATATATACCTATATATTTCAAGTAAATCTTTCGTAAGAGTTAAATGTGTGGCTCTTTTATTTTTCTAATTAATATTTATAGATTATATTACACATCGATGATTTAAAATATATAAATAATGTTATTCGTTATAAGAGGGTTTTGTATTTTTATACTTTGTTCACATCGCGAGTTTCACTATTATAGTAGTTCTCGGGTGGAGTGTGTGGCTACACCACTAGTTTGCACTCTGAGTCATCAAAAGCGTAAAGGGTTCTAAAACATCCACGATCAAATTTGGATCTATGTAAAGACAATTTTGTACTTTTTTCTTAACCTCACATATCCTAGGGTCGACTCTCATCTCAAAGCTGAGGCTTATAGTCCTTTCCTCCTCACCTCAGTGTTGGTTACTTTTGTATCATTGTTTACCTTAGAATATTACATAGTGCTGTACATAGTAGTTGTTATTGTTACACTGTATCTGGAATTCCATTGTTTGATAGCAAAGGTATGCTCGTCGGTTGTTTTGCTATGCTTACATTTTGTATTGCCTGTACACCATTCTTCTCACTATCTTTCTCGTACCCGTTTTATCGACTATTATTGATATTCCAAACATAATGAAACCTTGTCATTGTACATTTTAATAAGTTTTAAAATATCCTGGAAATCTATTTAGCTCTAAAATACGTCCTTGAAATGAAGTAATTATCACATAAGAATAATTATGTACGTGGAATTCAGGTTATTCTTATAGACCAGTCGTATTCAATAATGAATTATAAGTAAGACAACTTCATTAAATTATGATTCTATAAACATTTCTTGACACCGCGGTCCACAATTCGGCAATGTTGTCACAGTGGTTTGTTTTGAACTTAGGCTGTGTTAGCTCATAGTAAAACGCTAAGTCTAGAATCTCAATATCTAAGCAAGGACACCAAGCTGGTAAAATGACATAGGGTGATTAGGAATAAATCTAACGACATTAACAGATTAATTCAATTACTACGGTAAGCAATTATTGAGGAAAATCCCTTGAGTCAGGAGTTGTAGAAACACCTTCCATTTAGACTAAAAGTAAAACACAAACGTAAAGTACAGCATAAAACATAAACACTTTATACTTACCAATTGCAATGGGGGAATCTAGCCCATTCGTTCGTTACACCGAGATGTGGTCACTGATACTAAGATTTTCATGTAATGAGTACAAAAACGTGCACAAATAAATATCAATACCAGATATATATGCATTTAAACTACTAATATTAACACGAAGCATAATTAATACATTTTTAAAAATCAATAAGAATTTCGTTGTGATACATAATGTATACTTTAAAAATTAATTTGACGTAAAAAGACACTGTTACCGCATTTTAACTGATTTTCACAAGTCATATGTGACTTATACATATCTCTAAGTAGGCATTATTCTACAAAACATTAGCAAGAATGTAACACAATAGCTGTTTATTATTAATTCATACGCTATTAATTATTTTCTACATTTAAATTATAAAAAAAAGCAAAAGGGAAAAACGATCTTGCTTAATATTTTTGTTTGGATTAAAGTGCTCAAATAATAATTAAACTGCATTAAATACATATTTTTTATTCATTAGACAGAATAACTAGCATTCCACCAATCAATGACAATATTAAAATGAAACTGCCATGTATATTTTCTTGTATTGAACTACATTTTTTATAGATCTCCAGACATTTTACAAACATGAATAAACAATTATATGATACAATTACTAATAAATAAAAACACAAACTGCATAGAAATGTTTATTATGGTATTAACATTTTAAAATATAAAGCTGCAGTTGATTAACCTAGCCAATGACTACCCCTCTGTCGCACTCCCTCTAGTCATGATGTTATTGCATTCTAACGTGTTGTTTCTACAGAGCTGGTTTGTGCACTTTTCAAGTTGTTAATTGTTCGCTTGAATGTCTTTGTTACAAATTGTATTTTAGTGAGGCCATTTGAAGTGCTTCTTTGGCCAGTTTAGAGTATGATAGAGTATGAATAGAGGTTATAAAATTTAATTGCTGTTTTAAAATAGAATGTTGGAGTTGATTCTATGTACCTTAATGTTTATTAAAAAAATGTAGGCATATTTATATCCTGTGTTATTTTTATAAAAGTTCTGGTCTCAAACGTTATGTTAAATGTGTTTATATACAAAAACTTTAATAAAAGTAAATTTGTCATAACATTTTGTTGGATTTTTCTTGCTTACCTGTGTTCTTTATATGATTTATGAAATAAGGCACGTGTTCAATAAACTAAACAACACAGTTAGTTTCTTCTAAATACTGTTTACGGTTTTGAAATACTAACATAATACTTGTAGTTACAAGTTGGATGTCACATTTCATTAGAAACTACAAATCGAGTCGATTGAAAAGTAATGGATCAACATACAGTAATAACTTATTACTGAGCCACGTATGCATCTTCCTTAAGACATTTGTCCTATAAAACTTTAGACCAATTCATAAATTAAAAGGCAAAAATGTGGTTATGATTCCCGTATAAACTGCAGGTCCCTTAGGTGCCATTGGTTGTATGGGTCACCAATTCAATTAAAAGAACTTATTTTCGACTACGTAAAACTTGTTGTAGATTAATTGGCCAGGCAAAGGATACATAGCTTGTAAAATAAAAAAACTGCTGATATCGATTACGACTCATTATTGCATTGTTAATTATAATTGTAGTTAATTGTTGCCTTCTAATCCTTAAATATGTAGTCTAGCGTGGGAATATTGTTTTAAAATATCACAAAACAAACGTTTCCAATGTGTTCTTTTCTCATTGATTTCATTCCCCAACCATTTTTACAGTTTATATTACTTATTACTAATGTTAATAAACAACCTAATACCGTTGCTGTATAGTTTGTAGTGGTGCTAAAACCTCTGAATAAACTTATAAATTAAACATATCCATAACAGCTAAATTTTCAAAATAAAACGCCATTATATGATCACCTCAATTAAAGAGTTTAAAAAGGTCATTCAATATACAGTATGTAGGTTTGGTTTAATCATAAAGGTAAGATTTTTACACCACACTACACTATTTTGACGAACTTCCCACGCAAGGATTTAGTCCAGAAAACATCTGTTTGCCACCAGCTTAACCAAATGGGATTTCATTGCGTACTACTGTACTGTGATGAGTTTTACCAGACACCGGAGTTTTACCGGAGTTTTACTCGACTTCGTCTCGCACGGGAACGACCACACTCGTCCGGTAAACACTTATTTTCAGGACTAGTAACGTAATATATTATTACTTGAACACATCTGTGGTTACCTCTTAGGCCATGTGCTTAAAAAGAATGTTACCAAGTTTTATAATCAGTTGTTCAATAATCAGTCTTGGTTTTTTCTTGGACGTGTTTGCATCATTTTCAAAATTATTACAATTCAAGAGAAAACATTTTGTGTTTTTCATTATGACTCAAGTTCATCTTTAATAACGATCCAGTGTGAGTTTGGAGGGCATTTTAGATGGACTCCTCCTACACACCAAAGCATTTTAAGGTGGTATCGCCAGTTTAAGAACTCTGGAAGTGTATTAAAACGTAAAAAGCAGAGGTAGCGCAAGAGTTCTCTTAACAACTGAGGTGGATCGGCAAATGTAACGATAATGACTTTACCATTCTCAAATAGATCCGCTGATCTTTCGGTTTGTGATTTTTTTCCATGGGGCTATGTAAAAGACAAAGTTTATATACCGCTAATGCCTTAAACATACTTCAAGAGCTCCGTGGACGAATTCGCAATGCCGTAGAATCAATCAACCTTGCGATGCTAGCCGGTGTATTAGACAATTTACAGCATAGATTGGAAACTTGCTCCACAGCTAATGGACGGCGCGTTGATAACTTGTAGGGGTATCTATGAAAAATTTTAGAGTTTTCCTTTCGGGTGATATATTTTATATCCGTATTTGTTTAACATTAACGTCAATAAAATGTTTTAAAACCTGATTATTATTTTATAAACGCCCTGTGTATTATATTGAAATGGGTACCTATTATTAGTGTTTCTTCAGATCTGGCTTCAGGTTGAACAGTAAGGTACAAAATTAATTATATTTATATCCTGCAATATATCTCCAGTCATGAAAGCGAAGTTCCGGCAAAAAACTGTTATGGCCCTGAACGGAGCTTTATTTACATTCAGCAGAAGAGTAAACTGGGTACAAAGCAATACAGTAGAATATAAAATCACAAAACTTATTTGAGTTGTGGCTATCCATGTAGATCCAGCAAGACGACTAGACATATTGGCAATGGTTCTTCCTCAAGCTGCAGATTTTTCCACGGGCCTCCATGACCAAGCGAGAAGCGTAGGAAATCAAACTAAAAAACAATTACTGTTTTCTGTAACGGGGTACAAAATATTTTTAGATTTATCCTTTAACACAAATCATCATTGTTAAATCAAAGAAACATTATAGAGAATAAAAGCTCGTGGTCTTAGTCTTCAATTTATGTTCCATGTAACTTACTTTAGAAGCCTCGCAAACTTGACACTGGTATCGCCAACAACGTCAACAACTATCGTAATTATTATCAAAAGCAAAACAAGACACAAACTTTGAGACTCCTATTACATGGAACATCACTGAATTGCACTAACATTCAAGTGATTGATCAGAAAAAATCTTTATAATTTATGCAAATTTATAAATGTGGAAGATATGAGGTACATTTAGACTTTTTATTTTATTAGACTATACAGTATAATATAAAGTTCACAGTACACCGCAACAGGGCTCCTCACCGCCAACTGGCATCATTTCTCTGGATTGTGTTGTAAATATACAACATAACTGTCAAAAATATCTATATCTAGTTAGTATGCTTTTTGTATCCTTGTCCTTGGAGGGCATACAAACATGCAGACTAATACACATAGTTCTTTATACAATCCAACCTTAAAACGTCAACTAATAAGTGAAGCCTTCGCCTAATGAATGTGCGTTCAACCACACAATTGACTATAGATATGGCAACTCTATCTCCGGTAGGCGGGCGGTTTGCTCAGGTCAAGTTATAATTGAAGTCTAAAGTAGTTAGAGGTAATACACACTCCAAACTCTAAGCTTTGTTACTAGGTGTTGTAGAACAGAGAAATGTTAGAGATTCATACTAATGAAATAGTGACTGTAAATAATGCTAAGTGGGTTATGAATAAGATTTTAAGTCAATGTCAATATAAATAACATCGTAATATACTTTTTTAATTCTTATTTTGGAGAGATAATCATGGAACAATTGAGCAATTTAATGCAGTGAAGTAAAATATTAAAAATATATTTTTAAACCATAAAACCAAACAAACGTAAATGATGAAAACTTGATTCATAAATATGATGTTTGTATTCTAAATTCAATAAGGCGAACATCATTTAAACAACTCAACAACTCATTTAAAATCTAGCTGTATTGATTGTTATTATTAACTTACATTGTAAAATATTGTGGATTCGTTGATAATAAATTAACAAGTTATCGTAAGATTAAAAATATATTTTTAAACCATAAAACCTAACAAACGTAAGTGATGAAAACTTCATTTATAAATATGGGTTTGCATTCTAAAGTCAATAAGACGAATACTGTAAGTACTCGTAAGATTAAGAATCTGCAATAAATTAACTGGCAACATATTGGCATCTTAAAACCACTTATTATTATAACGTGTAGATCTAGTAGAACTCGTTTTAAAATAAATGAACATCGACTGGTCATTTAGAAATAATTTACAGCTATAACAGGTTATTTCATGTGATGGTAACAGAAAAATATAGAATGTGTAATGTGGTTTCGATATAGTTTAACGGAGTAAGTGTTGAAAACTCTACAAACGTAAGTGATGAAAACTTCATTTATAAATATGGGTTTGCATTCTAAAGTCAATAAGACGAATACTGTAAGTACTCGTAAGATTAAGAATCTGCAATAAATTAACTGGCAACATATTGGCATCTTAAAACCACTTATTATTATAACGTGTAGATTTAGTAGAACTCGTTTTAAAATAAATGAACATCGACTGGTCATTTAGAAATAATTTACAGCTATCTATACTTATTTAATACGCAAGCAGGATTTTTGTGACAATTACTCCTCCAAAACTACTGAACCGATTGACATGTTTTTGGTGTCATTGGAGAGAGCGTAACGTGAAGTTGTGCAGGAAACTTTCTTTTTATGGAAATAATTAAAGAGTGAGGCCCTGGAGTCCTTTAAAGTTTCGTATTTCTCCATAAGATTAACATGGGAAACAAAAATTGTTATATATGAAACTCCAGCTGTTGTCAGAAATTAAAAGTGAGAAGAAGAACATATTATGTTAATTGAAAACAGCCAATAAGATTGCTAATTTGACAGTTTATTTGAACTTGTGGTGTTACAATGGAAAAAAGATAGAGAGCCTGGATAAATTATTGATATAATCTGTTATGTACATCTTGAGTATTTCCATAATCTTTGAGTCGAAACTTTTAAAGTCATCAGAAATTATGACTGTTATTCGTTTTAAAATAATGCCTGTAATACTTAGCAATTGCTCGAATTCGAGCAACATGGACACTAGTAACAGGTTATTTCATGTGATGGTAACAGAAAAATATAGAATGTGTAATGTGGTTTCGATATAGTTTAACGGAGTAAGTGTTAAATAAAACATCGATGCACTACATAGTTTACAACAGCCAAACTTCGCATCTTCAACCATCATAATAAAGCTCATATGTCAGTATTGGTGTACGCGTATGTAAATAAAATTAATGTATATTAGGAATGCTTTCATAGCGGTGAAAGCCAACTGAGCGGATCATGGCGTTTTGTTGTTTACTACTCATTTCTTTGTATTCCCAACAACTAAAACACTTTAAACGTAAAACATTCCATACTTTTCTGTGTTTTAATTTGTTAAGTTTTTTCTCAAATAGTTTCTTTTATCTGTCGGCTTTCTACCCCTTGTACCCAAAACATTCAACAAAATCCTTCTGCTGTAGTTCAAGATGAAGGCCTACATTGTATACTTTTAGACATCCTCAGGATAACAGGATACAGTAAAGGATACCGGGAGGACAGAAATTTACACTGAAAATCATTAGTGTGCTCTATGAGCAATGTTTTGCTCCATGGGTTTCAGTTAGTCCAAATCGCTTAAAA